AAATTCCAGTTTGCGAGCGCAAATTACTGCACGCAAAATTGGATCTTGATAAATCCGGCCCAGAGTGTATACAAAAAGAATTTTGGTTAAGTACAGCTCTCAAGAAATTTAAATTTTTAAGGTGCAGCAGTGGTAAAATGTAAGCAGCAGTGATAAAATCTAACATAAGACTGAGATGTGATTTACACTTCCAACATTCAGGCTTTTTTTTTTAAACCCCATTTTATACAACATTCAGCAGTCTAACAGCAGTGGGGAAGAAGCTTTTCTCGAATTTGCTGGACCTGCATCGGATGCTTCGAAGTCTCTCCCCAGAGGGCAGCAGGGAGAACAGTCCATGGTGGGGGTGTGAGGGGTCCTGTATAATGTTGCGGGCTCTGGACATGCAGTGTTGGGATGAAATGTTTTAAATGGAGGGAAGAGGAGCCAAAATGATCCTCTGTTCAGTTCTCACTACTCTCCTCACCTTCTTCAAGTCTGAGGCGCTGCAGCCTCCACACCACAGCTGATCAAACGCTCTCTATGGTGCTTCTGTAGACGGTGGTGAGGATGGGTGGGGGGAGGTGGACTCTCCTCATCCTCCTCAGGAAGTATAAGCTCCTTTTAAACTGTTTACAGCTTGGATATACAAACAACATTACACAGAGGTTGTTGATGCAGTTTTTATTACAATTTTACAAGAATTTTAAAGATTATTTAGAAATATTACAATCAGTATTTTGGTTCATGACAGCATCCTAGTACTATTTTGTTGATGGCAAGAGGAACATTTTGGGAACCTCTGCACTATATTATAATCATGAATAGTTTTTGATATGCCACTTTTAGAAAATGTCAACCAGATCAAAAATATATTTGTTTCCCAAACAAAAATACAGAATCCATAAACAGGGAATAATCAATCCAAAAATGTAATTTCTTTATACAGTACTTAAATATGAATATTTTTATTGTCACACTCTGGTGCTCTCTGTTTATTGTAACAGTTTCCAAATTACTCTGCTTCTTGGCCAAATAATTCAGTTAATTACTTTATCTGTTCATTCCTGTATTGTTTTAGCCTCTTTTAATCTTTAACAATAGTTTTTCATTTACCAACTAATTTTTTTGTAGGTCCACATGAACCGTTAAGGTGACCAAAGTGCACTAAAAAGTCAATAAAGTATAATATTATGTCTGTATTGTTTTAATATCCTGCACTCCTTTAAAACACTTTTGTTTTTTGTTTTTAAGTCTCAGTTCTTGGCCTGCTGTCGGACCTGGGCGTGGATACTGATCTGCATGCCCTGCTGTTTGGAGAGAGTGTCCTTAATGACGCCGTAGCCATCGTTTTGACACAGTGGGTATCTCATCTTGCTTGTATGTGCCCTCAGAATCAGTAGATTTTCTGGTTTAATTGTGTGGGCGCCAGCAATTCTCCAGCTGGCAGCGTGGAGGAGGATGCGTGGGGGTGGAGGAAGACTGAATGGAAGCTGCCAGCTGTAAAGAAAAGGTGTGATTGGGCAAAGCTGCATGACTGTCATGATGTTATACTGGACTGCATAAGCAAGTAGTCTTGTAGCCGTTCCAGACTCTCATTAAGGAAGTCGACTGCTGGAGTTCCTTTTCCTATGCACCCCCAGGATAACAAACCAGGCTTATAAACTGTATGTGCTGTCAAATTCAGGCAAGAAATCAGTGGAAGCTCAATGGATTAGCCATTATAAACTTGTCTCTTGTCCAAGCTGTACAATCCCTTCATTCTTTCTGTTTGCTGTCCCATCTTTCCCTTGCACTGCTCTCAAATATGCAGTCATATACTTGGCACCGATTGTCTGCTCTATTTAAATAAGGCCAGTCAAGAAGACTAGCAAACAGATGGCGAATTTGAGACAGAGAGTTCATAATTCACACATGGAAAAGTGAAAGCTTAAAGCAATCAATTTAGCCTGATGCATTCATACAGCTTATAAGTTATGCAGTGGTAGTAAAGCAGGGAGCCCGAGCGTTTTACCAGACAAACAGCCACATAGTGCCCTGCTTATTGCTAAAATGGCGTGACAGGCCCTCATGCCGCCGTCCGTCATTTGACTGGTTCACAGAGGCCACCATGCACAAAGCTGGGTCTTATTACGAGGTCGCGTTGATTCCTGGTACTTGAATTCTAACAAACTAATTTTCCCTCTCTCAGGCGTGAAAACCCCCAGACTCATTCTGTCACTCAAACAGGGCTTTAAAATCTAAAAGTTGCATTTAAAAGTGAGCAGCACCAAACTTATTAAGAAACAATTTAGTAAGACACACTGTGGAGATTGACTTGCAGTGAAATTGAGCGTGCTAACAGAATCTGAGTCTTTATTTCCAAAGAGGAGGTAATAGATTTTCTCTTTTCATTTGCCGAGCTCATTAGTAACAGCTTGATTGATTCTTCCCCTCCTTCCATGGAGATATGATCCACCGGTTCATCTCAATATAAAGCCAACATTGCATGGTACATTTTTGATCCTCCAAAAACCAAGCTGCAACATTTGAAGGCCTCTGATGATTTCATATAAGGCAAAAAGCAACAAAAACGTGATTTGTGTTGTTTTGTTTTGATTTTCATCTTTTGATTCAATTTATCTAAAAAAAATTTTGAATTACATTGTGTCTGCACTTATGTAAATGTATATGAGAACAGTGCATCGGTTTTAAGGAAATATTGGGGGGAAATTATTCTGAGTTTTCTTTTAAAAGTAGAACACAACAATGAGTAAGAACAGCTTGGTCATATTTGTAGTTACCTTTAGAGCAAGAACTCATGATCAATCCCAAAGACCTCAGAAGAGGTGATGCTGCTCTATTTTAAACAGTATTTTACACAGAGTAAATAACTCTACCTAAACTGAGTTAATGGGGTACACTCACTTTAAAATAGGATTTTACTTTTAAAACAACTGAGAAATGACAATGGAGTACATAAATATTACTAAAACTATCTTCTCTGTGTGTGTTCTTTGAAAATGTAGGGTCCTACCTCCATTCAAAAAACTCATGTATATCAGGTGATAGAGGTTAAAAGGGTAGCATTGTTCTACTTCTGTATAGTCTAGTTCATCAGCTAAAAGTCTTTGCTCACTCTCGCCTTCTTGTAACCTTAGTGACGGAAATATCACGACACAACATAATAAACACCCTGACTTAGTTTCATACATCTTATCAATAGTAAAATGTAGGTAACACAGAATACATGTCAGATTACATAATACTACTTATACTTCAGCGATAGTATCTAGGCGTTACTTTATTGTATGTCTCATACCATGTCCGTTGGTTGTGCTGTTCTTTTTACATGTCTTTGCAGGTGATGAAGCAGACTGAAAATGTTTTATCATTATCTCCCTTTTATCTCCTCTTCTTTAATCTTTTCTCTTTTTTTCTGTTTTTCCTTTCCTGTTCTACCTACATTGCAGTGTCCATATAATCTGTAAAACTCCCTGCATAATTATAATAAAGCAATTTATATGCATTTAACAAGCGGAACCATAGCGATAGCCCTACTGCTCCACTTGTGAAAGTAAAATCTGTTGGGCTCTTTTTGGCATCAAGACAATTATTCTTATCGCCACATCGCCAGACAGGACATTGTTAAAAAAAAAAAATCAAAAGTAAAATGTTTAGAAGTGGGTTTCTTTCACAAAACAAGGCCGTTGGCAGTGAGACTTGAAGAGAAATATATGATGAAATCACTGGCTTATAGAGAGAAATTTAAATTCGGTTACATTCAACTGCAACTCAAGACTTAAGGCTTGACTTGAGACCGGTGTCCTATTGACTGGTCTTGGACTCCCGGTCTAAAACTCAGGTAGTAGCAGTTTCTACTTAAAAAAAAAAAAAAAAACAACAACTCATGAGCTTCAGACTGCAACTGCTGTTGATGGATTATAGACTTTCACTGGCTGATAACCATCGCTGAATATTAGATGTAGCTTCACATTAAGGAGCACATCTCTCCATCTGAATGCTCTGTTAGATGACTGAATAATTGATGATTAAATTAAATGTAACTTTCCTCAAATATTCCCTTACTGTTAAGCCAGCTGTGTCAATGCAAAACCAAACTACCTCCAATGTTCAACAATCCTTTTATCACTATGTTTTGCCTCATTCTTTACATTGTCATTTTTATTCTTCTTTTCAAATTTTTTTACTACTTAGAATACTTTGTCTTGATTTGATGGGGAAATATTTGTTTCACATTTGGACTTGGCTTTCAGTGGCTTAGAATGTCATTTGGAAAATATGCTTGTAAACTTTTCTCTCTATAAATTACTGTAGATCTCTTAAATAATTTGGAAGCTGTTTATGAAAAAACCAGGGTAGATGTTGAATGTGCAGATTTATTCCATTTCATCTTTCCTTTTGGTATCTTTTCCCATTTTGTATCAGATTATTCAAATATAATCTGGGCATTGGAAGCATTTTATGGTCTCAATTTAGTTTTTTACTGCAGAAAAGCAGTACACCCATAACCTCTGCTGAAAATGAAATATATTGCCATTTTTTATTAGTACCTTCTTTTCTCACGCATAAAAATCCATCCATCCATTCATTTTCTGTCACGCTTATCCCAAGCGGGGTCGCGAGGGGAGCTGGTGCCTATCTCCAGCTGTCTACAGGCAAGAGGCGGGGTACACCGGTCGCCAGTCCATCACATGCATAAACAGTCAATCAGAAAATTTCTGTTTTCTTCATCCTCCTAATAAGGGGTTATTTTACTCTGAGTACGTGGCAGGTCGAAGTCCCTCTTCCCCACCACAGAGCAAACATGATAGCAGCTCACATAACATTATGCTGTTGTTTTTATGAACAGCACTTGTGTCTCCCTCCTTTTTCTCTGGTCTGCTCGGAAATGTTTGTGAGGCAAATATTTTGGAATGCATTATATTTCTGGAGCAGTTTATACTTTCTTGGAAAGCCCATGTGTTCTCAGGATTGACTCCAGGAAATTAGAATTAGCTCAGCATATTTACACTGGGAATGTATGCTCTCTGCTGCAGAGTGCTTTGTACCAATAAACTATTGGTCAGTTTTCCAAGAAAATAAATACATGAACACAGTTTTTAAACACTTGCACATTATTTTCTCTGGTCTATATTCTTCTTCTCTAAGGTGCAATGGTGAGCTATTGAAAATATCTGGAATGAACTAGATGGCTTCTCTGTGAGGGTGGTCGGTGCGCTGCCTTAGGGATAAAGGGGGAAATCTTTGGGGATCCACAGTGTTCGGATATGCTTTCAGTGTGCAATTTACTGTAATTCTTTAGGCTTCATCTGGGTATTCACAGGTGGTCTTTCCACGGCCATTGTTATTCTCCTTTAGCTCTATTTGCATCATGCTCATATTTTTAGGAAGACTTTCGAATGTGGACTTAGTTTGCAATTGCTTGGCAATGCAGAAATGCCGTTTTATTTCTTTTCAAATATGGGAGCTTGTGTACTCCAGTCTTAAGCTGCAAGAATCTGTTGTCTTGCATCAGGAACTGTATAGTGTGTGCACAGTGAACATGACGGAATGCAACACACACCCATTAGAAATCTCACATCTTTCCATGCAATCCCATTTATCGTCCATCATTTGCCAAACCAACGTCTTCCATAATCAATGAATGAATTAATAAATACATCTATTTTAGACAAACCAGTAAAATTACAAATGTAACTCATGTGAACATGTATGATTAATGGTACATGTATTATTACATTATATGTATGATTTTGTGTTAATGTATAAATAGGGGTATGAAAAAGGGAAACTTATTTAATTATGCTCCCTTTCCTTCCGATAGTCATTAAGACCAATAATCTTATCCTTTTTTTGCTTATCAGTCCGTTCTACTCCAAAAGTCCATTAAGTAAGCAAATAAATTATGCATATAATAACATGCATATGCACATTTATACGTTGGTACACACATCTTCATTTATACAAGTTTTACCAATAGCCCGCATGCCCACAACCTTTGCAAAATTATCTTGCTCAGGGAGCCAGAGTGACAGTCTGTGGGAGTTGGGGATCAAACTCACAACCTCAGGATTCATAGCCCTATGCCCTAAACACTAGACCGCCACTCCTATTTCTCCTAAAAAGAGAACCTTTCCAACAAATGTAGTTGGAGAAAGGGGCTACATCTAGATGGACTTGATTTACTGATTAGCAGTGGCGGCTGGTGAATTTTTCTCCAGGGGGGACTCTATATTCAAAATAGACGTAAACCAAAAACCAATCAAACATATTCTAAGTTATCACACCAGTGTAGTTATATGAATGCCAACAACAAAATACATAAAAACACTTTATAAAAAAAAAATAAAAAAAACATGATATTAAATGCATGCTCCAATATTGTGTCATAAAGCAAAAAAATAATGCACCAGGGTTAATAATTGAGAAGCTATTAGTCAGCTTTATATTTTATTGATATATAAAAATAATTTCTTTTCGGAGAATGTGTTTATTTAAGAGCAACTAAGCAAATTAACAAACACCTATAAAAAGTAAAAAATATTATAATCCCAGATTGTTCATTCTTCTTTGCCTTTTCTAAAAAGTGTTTTAAATCAGTCCTATCTGTCTTTATCCATGCTGGGTCAGAGCATGACATTTGAAAAAGGATGCAGGCAGTCAAGGCAGAATAAAGCATTAGCCTCGCTGCATGCACTTAGCCTAGCCTTGTAGCTAAACCAGGTCCATGAAAAAGACAGAGTGTACAGTCTCCATCTGTCTTTGGACCGTTGATTCATTTTAATGTCTGGCTTATCAGGTTCAAACGATTTCACCTACAGCTTTTCTTTGTAATTTTGCTTCCTTTCTGCACTACAACTGTGACGACAGTTCCTGTCACTGTCCTATACATCTTTATTGCAGAGGCGCTACTGCTTATGAGGCGCTACTGCTTATGTACAACTTTTAAGTCAATATGCAAATATTTTTGTGTGCTAGTGCGGAATTACGTTACTAAGGCAACAAAAACAAAACAGCTGTACTCTTCATGAAAGATAAAACATTCATCTTGCACATCTAAAAAATATATATCAATATATTTTCCAATATTTAAATTTTATAATTTAATTTTAATTTGTTTTTTTTATGTCTTCATCAAGGTCATGGGTGTGTGGGGTGGTGGCCTAGCGCCCTCTACTTGCCTGCCGTCACTGCTTAGTGACTTCGCAAGGCAGGTTGTAGGACTCTATTTAGGGATATCACGGTTAAGAGGGTGAATATGAATTCACTGCATATTTTTAAAGAGTTTCACTGGTAGAAATCTTTTAGCATTTGCCTTTTATTTAACAAGTATGTATCAATTTGTCTTGTCCTAACATATCAAATCCCAGTACAATGCACTGAAGTTTGAGGTTTATTTCACTTTATTTGTCATATAGTATTTCTTCCTGCTTATTTTCGATCCTTAATAGCTTTCTTGTGTCTCTCTCTTGTAGCGCTATCTCCTCCTATGACCAGCTGGGAAGAGGAAACATCTTTGACCCACCTGCTTTCCTTCGCTCTGTGGGTTTTTTCCTTGGAGTGCTCATTGGCTCCTTCCTCCTTGGATTCATATTCACAGTAATAACAGCCCTCATATCCTTTTCATCCCCTTCTCATCCCTCCACCCCGGTCTCAATTATCACCTCAGCATCCGCTGCAGTAAATCTACTTCCTTATGTTCTGTAACTGCCCCCCCCCCAACAAACCCATGCTGCACCCCTTCATCACAAGCAGAGGGATGGGGTCTAAAGTGCTGCAGCAGGTTTGATGTTGTCAATCACATCAGATGCCTGTGTGGGCATTTCGCCTGGTGCAATTGTGCTCAGCTTGTCTTTCTCTGATCTTTAGCTAATTAGACTTTAAAGTGAAAACTGGGGAGGTGTGGAGCGGGGTGTTCAGCTCTTATGCACAGGGACAGATCTTTGTGAAAAGGCAATCCACAAATTGAGCTTTTTATTGAAATTTCCCTGACATCCACAGCAGCACACTGTTATCTTTGTGCTCTCTGTTCAAAGAGAGAGTCCTTAAAGACTGCTTATGGCAAACATCAAGTCATTAACATGCCCATGTTTTGTTTTTATTGCTAGGATGCATCATGAGGGAAATAAGTGGTCAGCATCTTAGTGTATACAGCCTTAATAACAGAGATCTAAACAGCCTGGGTTCCATTTAAAAAAACAAACATAAGATTATCTTTGCAAGATTGGATTACATTTTTATAGCAATCCTTTTTTTCTCATTAGCGTATTAATTGCTGCACATACACTCAAAGACCTCATTATTTTTAGCTCACTACCTTCTCTATGGCTGTTCTTAGAAAGCACCGATCTTTCTCTGCTTTGGACTTAGAATGCTGTTTTATTTCTTATATTACATTTAAATCTGATATTGAAAAAGGATTTAGAAAGAGGAGGAGCTGGAGGATGGAAAGGCACAACTCATTAGGAAGGATTAATAATGTTTATAGTAACAAGACAATATAAATACTTTTCTAGGCAGTTGAAATCACGATTTAGTGTTTTTTGGCTTTGGTGGACAGATTGACGTTCTGTAAATGAGGAGATGGGGGATTTGTTTGCAGGGAAAATTCTGAATTTCATTATTTTGTAAGAGGGAGATGGTATATCAAATAATAGGTGCGTCCATGCAATGCATAGGGCATAGAATGCCATTATATGCTTCTTGCATTGCTATGGCAGGCACCAATTAATCTTACCTCATCGAACCAAATTTTTCTTTTTTTAAGTATTAAAAGTGATCTGATATCAGCATCCAAAGCGCTCCATTATGTTGCATTTAAGGCTATAGATGCTTAAAAAGCGTTTTACTCTACTTTACACAAAAACATATCTTGTAATTAGTTTAAGATAATGAAAAAACACAAGCCACTTATTGGCTAAAAAGACTGTGCTAGCTATCAGCAAGTATTTTTTGTCTTTTTCAGGCTGCTTTATAAAGAGTCAGTCTGGATTTTGTTATGCCCCTCACTGCACAAACATAAATAGAGAACTATGTAAGACCCAAACTTACTTATCTTTTCCCTTTTTTGTAAAAAACAGCAACAAACAAGTAGAGTAATCCAGGAAGCTTAGCTGGAGGATATGTGGGAAAATGATGTAGAGAGGTAAAAACAGAACTAACACTCAGGCACAGTGGTTATTGTATATGGCAGGTTTCCAGAATTACTGAGCACCTACTGCATCGGCTTGTTATTTGTAGGTACAGCACTGCAGTGTTTCTCAGCCTCCAGTCTGCTGCACTGGAATCAAATATGTATTTTTTTTTTTTTTACAACAAATTCACCACCAACCTTAGCTTATTGGAAAAGGTGTAAAATAAAAAAGTAAGTTTATCTTATTGTAAATCTTTAACTCTCTGTCCACCTCACCAAATTCACACGACTGCATGAAAATCCTCTGCTGGAAACATCAGTCTTGTTCCTGCTGTCCTGGAGCAGTTTCCTCTCTGCAGAAGCCTGCGGACTTTCAGGTGAACACATCGAACACTTCTTTAAATTGTGTGTCTGTGTATTAATATCAGAACTGTGTGACTGCTGGACCTGAATATGATTGCTCTTGGTGAGTATTTGTCTTCACCCCCCTAACTCAGCTCCCTACTGGCATCACTTCTAAGCTGCACACAGTGACTTGCATACCACCCCTCTGTATCAGCCACACAGGCAGCTGTTTGGTTGGCATGTTCTGCTGCTGCATCAGGGGAAATCTGACAGCTGATACTAGACCAAGATTTAGACATTGCAAACAGATTCAGTCCTCCTTTTAAATACAATGGCCAGAAGAAAAGTGTTTGAACCCATTAAAAAATTACCCATTTTTTTCAAATACTTAGCTTTCTGCTAAGCATCCAGGCTTTCTAAGTTGAAGCTCAGCAGAGCCCGGTCATTCTATAGCTGCAGCTTCATGTCTTCTGGGGGTGTGTCTCTACCAGTTTTGCATATCGATAAAACCTGAATTTATGTCCAGTTTTCATTATTTGAGACTACATCATCTGTAATTAGTAAATTCAAATGTCATCATATGTGTGATTTTCGGTTAAGTTTCTGGATCAATCTAAGTTATAGAGATGTGTTGATCCAAACATTGATGCTCTGGTTGTATGATCAGGACTGTTGCCTGGCTGGAAGGTATCTCTCCACCAGATTTATAATGATAATAGAGCCTCCAACAGATTTTCTCATCAGATTTAGCTGAATTCAGCTTGTTTTTTTTTATTGTTTTTTTTTTGTTTTTTGTTTTTTATGAAAACATGCCTCCAACACAATGCTACCACCATATGTAAAATGCTGTGTGCAGGAAGTTTTTTTTTGTTCCTCATACAGCATTTTACATGCTGTTTAATTTGGGTTTATTGTGTCCAGAGCATCTTCTGCTGAATGGTTGCTTATGTCTTTCTTTCGCCAAAGTTTTTTTTTTTTTATCTTACCACACTCATAGGGTTATGCTGAATGAATCCCTAATACTTACATAAAACAGATTTTCGTTGGTTTGATGCATATCTTGGATGTCCCATACGATTTATGTTTTAAAATAGTTGACTGAACATTACTCTGTGCACTGTTTAAACCTAATGTGTTGCTTTATAACCTCATCCATCATTTAACCTTTTCTCCCGAGCAGTCGACTGTTTTCTGTGTTCCTCAGGACACTGATTGTTCACTAGTGCACTCCTAAAAAAAAACAAGAGATTATATTACTTAAACAAAAAATGTTATTATCAGATTAATCTTTCAATAACTTTTAATTTACCAAAAACCAAAGAAATGTGCTTTATAGAGGATATTTTTACAGAATTTGAACCAGATGAACTTAAAATGTAATTTTAAGAATTTTGAATAGAGCATATTTGCTAACAAAATAGGTGTAAAATGTATCATATTCTTCTTTTAAGGTACCGTGTTTAAACAATCATTAACTCTTTCATTTGAAATGGTGCTTTGAAATATTTTGTAGGTTGAATGTGGAAGAATAGGTCTCACCCTTGCTCCTTGATGTCATCTTCCTCTGCGCTGCTCACTGTGATCCCTGTTCACGCTCAGCTGTGGTGTTGTTGTTCCTCCTGCTTTGGCTTTATAACAGGAATTCCACTCAATCACCTGACAAGCTCACTCTTGCTTGGCATTAGTCCCTGTGGTCTGTAGAGGGAGAGAATATGTTTTTTTAATGAATAAGCTTGACCTTTATCTACTTGGTCTTGTTTAAAAAAAAATGGACCATCCTTCATGCTGCTCACTGTGTTTACACTCACCACAGGAACATGAAGGCCAAGCCCGTGGCTCTCATAATGATTTTATGTTTTATATTTAGAATAAAACTGAGCATTGAAAAAAAACTGATATTACATACTGTATGGTTAATAATACTCTATTAACCATTCAGTACAGAGTAAGTACTGTAAATTAACCATGCCACGCTGATTAAGTAAAGAATTCAGAGTTCAAAACATAAAAAAGCTCTGAAAATACTCCAGATACTATTTCACTTTATACCATATCTTACCTGGGACTTAATTTTATAATTTACACCCATTTGTAGATACTACTTTAGCTAGGCAATGATTAGTTAAGGATGTCTGCATCCTGAATAGCTTGAATGACTACTCGCTCAAAAAATTTGTATGTCACTCTAGGTCACCAAGCAAGACCCTAAACCACGTAATGGTCACAATGAGGCAGCCCACTGCTCCTTAAGGGAAGGGTTAAATGCAAAGGAAAGTATTCCCCACTGTGGGAATGGAAAGAGATATTTTACTTTTCAAACCCAACTTGTAGAAAGAAGGAAGGACCTAAATAGAACCTGTTTAACACCTTAAAGTAGGCTGAAAGATGTCAAAAACTCCACTTCGGCTGAGATTTAAAGAGATAAAAGACCAGAGGAGAAAGACTATTAACATTGGTCTGCACAAATGAACTCCAGATTTCACTCTGATTGTACTGATTTAAAAATTAATAGTATTCAGCACAGACACACGACAATGGTTAATTAGGTGATATTAGATTATTTCCCACGGCACATCTGACAATCTCTTACGGCACACTGGTTGAAAATTACTGTATTAGGAGCAACTTTTCCAGGCCATTGAGCTGAGTAAGTCCCAGATGGAGGAAAGGTTTCACCTGATTTTGTTACAGTTCAGACCTGTCCTGTTCTTTCAAACCAAGTTTATGTAAGGAGATCATCAAAGAGTAACACAGAGAGCAATGTTCAGTCCATTTTTTTAAGTTGAGAGACTATGATAGAACTGCAAACTTTCCAAAAAGCTACCTTATAAATAAATTGACATTTCGGGAGTGTTTTAGTTAGAGAACAATTAAATAGCCTTATATGAACCAGGGAGGAACTTGAACAGTCTACTGCCCACCTGACAAACCAACTTTTTTTTTTTTTTTTACAAAATGTATGACTCCATAACACCAAAGATCCCTACAGTAAAAAAAAATGTGGCTGATAGCATTATGCTGGGGGAATGAATGCTCTTCAGCAGAGACAGGAGGATTTTAAAAGTT